ACATCAAAAAGAATACTAAGAATAAATTTAAGAAAACACTGTTGAAAGAAATTTAAAAATACCTAAATAAATGGAAAGACATCCCATGTTCTTGGATCAGAAGACTTAACATTAAGATGGCAATACTCCCCAAATAGATTCAGCACAATTTCTATCAAAACTCCCAGCTCCCTTTTTGCAGAAATTAAAATCTGATCCTATAATTCATATGGAAATGCAAGCAACCCAGAATAGCCAAAACAAAGAACAAAAGTTGGAGGAATTGCACTTTCCAGTTTCTGAACTTTCTACAAAACTACAGTAATTAAGACAATGTGCTACTGGTATAAATAGAGAAATACAGATGAATGGAATAGAATTGAGAGTTCAGAAATAAACCTTAAAGGTTATGGTCAATTGATTTCCAACAAGAGTGCCAAGACAACTCATGGAAAAAGAAAGTTCTTTCAATAAATGGTGCTGGGACAACTTCAAGCAATCTCAAACCATATACACAAATTAACTCAAAAATGGACCACAGATCAATATTAAAGAACTAAAACTATAAAAATCTCAGAAAAAAAATATAGGAGTAGATCTTCATGACCTTGGATTAGGCAATGGTTTCTTAGAGATGACCCCCAGGATACAAGCCACAAAGGAAAAAATAGATAAATTGGATTTCATCAAAATTAAAAACTTTTATGCTTCAAAAGATACCATTAAGAAAATGAAAAGACAACCTACAGACTGTGAGAAAACATTTGCAAATAAGATAGCTGACAAGGGACTTGTAACCAGACTATACAAAAAACTCTTATGACTCAACAATAAAAAAACAAATCACCCAATTAAAATATGGGTAAAAAAAATTGAATAGGGAGTGGCTACTAATGAGTATTGACTTTCTTTTGGAGGTGTTGAAAGTTTTCCAAAATGAGATAGTGGTGATGGTTGTACAACTTTCTGAGTATACTACAAACCACTGAATCGTACATGTATTATGGTATGTGAATAAAATCTCAATAAAGCTTTTAAAGAAAAAAATAAAAGAAACTGCTTATATCATAATGTTAAGTAGAAAAGCCATAATATATAATTATAATTGCATTTATAATGAATATATTTGAAAGATGTAAAGAAAAAACTAGACTATATAGCAAAATGTTAATGGTACCTTGCCTCTGATTATTCAGAGTTCAATCCCCTCACCCCTACTTTTTAGAAAATATTTTTTTCTATATTTTCTAAACCATAGCACCAGCCTTGTGTGTATCTGGCAGCATTCCTTCCTTTGGAGAATAGCCCCTGCAGCATCCTTGTGATCCAATCTCAGGATCATTTTCGAGGGGACGCAACCCAAGACACTTCCCGGTTTACAGAGCACGTCCACAGCCAACAAGCATTTCATTCTCACAACGCTGTGAGCTCAATATTATTATTCCCATTTTAGAGATAAAGAACTGAAGCTCAGAGAAGAAAAATGGATGCCTTGTGATGGGTCCATCCCATGTTGCTTCTTGTGCATCAAACCAATTCCAAGACAGTATTGCCTTTAGAGGTTCCCCACCCCAAAACTGGGGCAGTGGAAAATGAAGACTAGAGGCTCAGGGCCTCCAGGCTCTGGGCTGGCCCTTCACATGACTTTTTGGCTCCCAAGTTCCTCATCTAGAAAGTGAGGGGTCAGACTGGAACTGGCTCACAGCTCTCTTCCAGCTCCAGTGGCCAGCATGTCCTTAGTTTTCTTAAAAAGCATTTCTTGGTTTGCTCTAAATACTGCCCCTAATGATGATTTTTCGGTGACTAGGCTGCACCATCACAAGTGATAACTTCACAACTAGTTCAGTCTCTTTTTGAGTGACAGTCAGGAATTTCAAGCAATTCCAGAAAATGATAAAATGACTGAAGAGTAAGAATGTAAAAACAAACAAAAAAACCCAATAATAGTCTGAAATATAAAAATTCATACATGAAGAAAGAAAAATGTTAAAAGACAGGAAAGAAAGAAAAGACCAAAGCGGATTTCAAGAGACTCTGAAACTTACTCTTTAACGTAGAGTAGCTAAAGCAAAAGGAAGAAACGATGAAGTAAAAGAGCTGAACAGAAGATTTCAAAGGGTGGCCCGAGAAGACAAAGTAAAATATTATAAGGAAATGTGCAAAGACACAGAGTTAGAAAACCAAAAAGGAAGAACACGCTCAACATTTCTCAAGTTGAAAGAACTAAAGAAAAAATTCAAGCCTCGAGTTGCAACACTGAAGGATTCTATGGGCAAAATATTGAACGATGCAGGAAGCATCAAAAGAAGATGGAAGGAATACAGATTCACTGTACCAAAAAGAATTGGTCGAGATTCAACCATTTCAGGAGGTAGGACATGATCAAGAACCAATGGTATGGAAGGAAGAAGTTCAAGCTGCACTGAAGACACTGACGAAAAACAAGGTTCCAGGAACTGACGGAATACCAATTGAGATGTTTCAACAAATGGATGCGGCGCTGGAAGTACTCACTCATCTATGCCAAGAAATTTGGAAGACAGCTATCTGGCCAACCAACTGGAAGAGATTCATATTTTGCCTACTCCAAAGAAAGGTGATCCAACCTAATGCATAAATTATCGAACAATATCATTAATATCACACATAAGTAAAATTTTGCTGAAGATCATTCAAAAGCAGTTGCAGCAGTACATCGACAGGGAACTGCCAGAAATTCAAGCATGATTCAGAAGAGGACATGGAACGAGGGATATCATTGCCGATGTCAGATGGATCCTGGCTGAAAGCAGAGAATACCAGAAAGATGTTCACCTGTGTTTTATTGACTATGCAAAGGCATTTGACTGTGTGGATCATAACAAATTATGGATAACATTGCAAAGAATGGGAATTCCAGTACACAGATACTGTGTGATTGATTACTTTTGTGTGGCCTTTCTAGCCACGGTCTTGTAACTCCCACCCAGGTTATTGGGCAGGACTGTGTGATAGGGTAATTGTGGACCACCAAGGAGGTTGCTCAGTTTTGCCTTAAAAGAGAGCTAATTCCAGAGCAGAGAGGAGGATCCTACTACCACCAAGGCAGAAGACCCAGGAGCCGCGAGCACATCCTTTGGACCCTGGATCCCTATGCTGAGAAGCTCCTGGAAGCAGGAGAGAGAGAGACAAAGAGAGAAAGGCTAGCTGTAACCCTGAAGACAGAGAGAAGCAGTGGCAGGAAAGACCTGGCAGCAGAGACTCTGCAGCAGGTGACAGCGCAGTAGGCTTCCCAGCCCACGGAGAGAGAAAGCAGAGTGCCTTTGGGCAGAGGCCTAGGGCCAGGGAGAGGCTGTCCTGAGAGAAGAACTGCATCCTGAGTGTTCCTGAGCCTGAATTGTAACTGCTACTTCCATAATAAACCCCACAATCGAGAGTATGGTCTGTGAGTTCCGTGCAGCCATTGCAATGAATTTTCGAACCCAGCAGAGAAATAGAGAGCGCTGTGTGAGGAACGGTTGGTGTCAGAATTGGTAAAGGTGGCGGAGAGAGGAGGCATGTCTGACAGCTGCCTCATAAGAATCAGCCTTGGGCTGTTGATCTTGGTTCTCCTTCCCCCTTGTGGGGTCGGAGGAGGTCAAACACTGCCCCCAAGCCGTTTTTATAACTTAATTGTGCTCACGAGGAACCTGCACATAGACCAAGAGGCAGTCGTTGGAACAGAACAAGCAGATACTGAGTGATTTAAAATCAGGAAAGGTGTGCATCGGGGTTGTATCCTTTCTCCATACTTATTCAATCTGTATGTTGAGCAAATAATCTGAGAAGCTGGATTATATGAAGAGGAACGCAGCATCAGGATTGGAAGAAGACTGATTAATAACCTGTGATATGCAGATGACACAACTTTGCTCAGTGGAAGTGAAGAGGACTTGAAGCACTGAAGATCAAAGAGTACAGCTTTCAGTACGGATTATACCTCAACATAAAGAAAATAAAAATCCTCACAACTGGACCAATAAGCAACATCAAGTTAAATGGAGAAAATATTGAAGTTATCAAGGATTTCATTTTACTTGGATCCATAATCAATGCCCATGGAAGCAGCAGTTAAAAAATCAAATGATGCATTGCACTGGGCAAATATGCTGCAAAGGACCTCTTTAAAGTGTTAAAAAGCAAAGATGTCACCTTGAGGACAAAGGTGCACCTGACCCAAGCCATAGTCTTTTCAATCACCTCATATGCATGCAAAAGTTGGACAATGAATAAGGAAAACTGAAGGAGAACTGATGCCTTTGAATTACGGTGTTGGCAAAGAATACTGAATATACCATGGACTGCCAGAAGAACAAACAAATCTGTTTTGGAAGACGTACAGCCAGAATGCTCCTTAGAAGCAAGGATGGGAAGACTTCATCTCATATACTTTGGACATGTTATCAGGAGGGAGCAATCCCTGGAGAAGGACATCATGCTTGGTAAAGTAGAGGGTCAGAGAAAGAGAAAGACCCTCAACGAGATGGATTGACACAGTGGCTACAACAATGGGCTCAAACATAACAACAGTTATGAGGATGGCACAGGACCAGGCAGTGTTTTGTTCTGTTGCACATAGGGTTGCTAGGAGTCGGAAGCGACTCAATGGCACCTAAAAACATATAAAAACTAGGGGAGGGGAAGTTTCTAAGTAACCTCTGAGTGCTGAGCTATTAAAAATTCACTGTGTTTTCACAAAGGTAAAAAATGGCGGTGGAATGACTGCATGACGGATTCCTGGAGCGTAGCTCTGTACTCCCCGTCAGGAAAGGTGGCGCTTCAGCCTCAGTTTCCTAGAAAGCCGTTCTTTTCCATACCAGCGTTCTGACTTTCATGAAAACACCCACATAAACGTGACTTTCATGAAAACACCCACATAAACATATTTCTGAAGGTCCCTTCTGTTTCTTGTTTTCGGGGATAAGCTGGCCTTCCAGTGATCTTAGCGAGGATGTGAGTAATATTTTCTCTTAGCCAGATGTGTGCGGGACCTGAAAACTTACCTCATCATCATCCGTTACATTTTCCTTAGCAAAGTCATACAGCTCTTTCTGCAGTGTGGTCACGTTAAAGAACTGAACTGCTTCCTGTTCAGACGCAAACAGAGAACAGATTATATGACCAACCTTCTACTGTGTGGGGTCAAGTGTTCAGAGTGGAATCATCCCAGTTTAATACTCCTCAGGAGTCTGCATGAGCATCTTCGCACAGCGCCTATGGGAAAACCACCACCAGCACGCCGACTTTATAAAATGGAGTGGCCACACACCCGCTTGGACGGCTACCGTCCAAAAGACAGATGGTAACCAGTGTGGGAGGGGATGTGGAGAAATCGGAAACTTCATATATTGCTGGTGGAAATACAGAATGCTGCGGCCATTGGAAAACAGTCTGGCAGTTTCTCAAAAGGTTAAACATAGAGGTACCATAGGACCCAGCAATTCGACTCCTAGGTATGTACGCAAAGAAATGAAAGCATACGTCCAAATAAAAACCCGTATGTGAATGTTCAGAGTAGCATTATTCAGAATCGTCAAAAAGCGGAAACAACCCAAATGTCCCCCTACAGGTGAACGGAGAAACATGTGATATGATTCCATGTATAGGAAATGTCCAGAAGAGGCAAATCCACAGAGACAAAAGGCAGATGAGTGTTCACCAGGGGCTGGGGAAAGAGGAGAATGGGGTTTCTCTTTGGGGTGATGAAAATGTTCTTCAGGGAGGTAGAGGAGTGTATGGGGTTACCATGAGTTGGGGGGGGTTACTCGACAGCAGCGAACGACAACAAGATTGTTAGTTGAATTTGTAGATCATAAAAAGTTGAGGAAAGTTAATAAAATGAGATAGTGGGGACAGTTTCACAGCAGCTCTGTGAATTATACTAAAACTCACTGAAGTATATACTTTTAAAAAGTGAATTTTATTATCTGTGAATAATATCTCAAAAGAACAGTCAACTCAGTGAGTGAGTGAGTGAGCAAGTGTGTGTGTGTGTGTACATGTGTGTGTGTGTTAGCAGGGGAGTGAAGTAGGTAGGAAAATGTGCGTGCAGCAACCCAGGATAGCATATAGAAACCCCAATGGCAATACCAGTTAAAGGAAAAAATCAATAGAAAAAGATCTTTTGAGAGTACATAATTAATGGTTGCAGCAGTACATTGACAGGGAGCTTCAAAAACTCAACGGCACCTAGCAACAACAACACACAATGAATGGAGTTCTCTGGGACTGGATGCAGAACTGTGAGTTTGTCCATCAAGGAGGGACTCATTAAATGGTGGGGTCCATCCCTCAAAGAGCACACCCTGAAACTGTCAGGTAATGAAGGAGGTATATGGGTGTGACATGGAAAAATGTTCATGAAGAAGGGTTAGAAAGACAGTGTGAGTCGCCCAACAGTATGCAGAGTATGGTCCCTTTTCTGTAACAATAAACACATACAGGCTGTCTACAGGAGGGAGTCTTTGCCTATAAAGCAAGAGGTAAGAAGGAGTGGGCCTAGGACGGAATCTCACCTTCTAAGTGAAATATTTCTGTAAGGTTTGCAATTTTTAGGAGTTTTCATTGATTTAGATATCAGAATAAAGCAGCAATATGTTAAAGAAAAAACTACAGAAAAATATAAAAGAGTTTTCCTTCAGCTCCACAGACACTTCCAAACTCCCTGAGGGACTGAATTGCTAGGCAGAGGGCTGTGGGGACCATGGTCTCGGGGAACATTTAGCTCAACTGGCATAACACAGTTTATAAAGGCAATGTTCTACATTCTACCTTGGTGAGTAGTGTCTGGGGTCTTAAAAGCCTGTGAGCAGCCATCTAAGATACTCCACTGGTCTCACCCCTTCGGGAGCAAGGGAGAATGAAGAGAACAAGATACAATGAAAAGATTAGTCCAAAGGACTAATGGACCACAGCTACCAAGGCCTCCACCAGGCTGAGTCCAGTACAGCTAGATGGTGCCCGGCTACCACCACTGACTGCTCTGACTGGGATCACAATAGAGGGTCCTGGACAGAGCTGGAAAAGGATGTAGAACAAAATTCTAACTCACAAAAAAGACCAGATTTACTGGCCTGACAGACTGGAGAAACCCCAATAGTATGGCCCCCGGACACCCTTTTAGCTCAGTGGTGAAGTCACTCCCGAAGTTCACCGTTCAGCTGGGGACTGGACAGCCTCATAAAACGAAACGGGACTAATGAGGCACAGCAGTCCAGGGACAAGGACTAGAAGGCAGGAGGGGACAAGAAAGCTGGTGATAAGGAACCCAAGGTTGAGAAGGGACAGTGTTGACATGTCATGGGGTTATTAACCATTGTCATAGAGCAATATGTGTACTAACTGTTTAATGAGAAACTATTTGTTCTGCAAACCTTCATCTAAGGTACAAAAAAAAAAAAAAGAATTATCTATGTGATATTAAATTGACAACAGCAACTCAAAAGGTCTGATGGGAAGCCTAGGGGGCAGTGAGTTGAAGATAACGGTGATGGAATAATTTGGAAAAGGATAGTGAGAATAGCAGCACAACTGGAAGAATGTAATCCATGTCACTGAACTGTACATGTAGAAACTTTTGAAATGGTGTAACTTTGGCTATGTATATTTTCACCAAAAAAGGTTCTCCAAGGTCGAGAAGGGAGAGTGTTGACATGTCATGGGGTTATTAACCAATGTCATAAAACAATATGTGTACTGACTGTTTAATGAGAAACTATGTGTTCTGTAAACCTTCATCTAAAGTACAATAAAATATATATATATACAAAAAAAAGAGTTTTCCTTCATTTCAGAAAGAACCCATTCTCTTAGCATGCAGAGTAGTCTCCTGAAAAGTGAGAATGAGGAGGAGAAAAGGTGAAGTAATGCATAGGACACTTACTGGCCTGGGCTGGAAATGCTCGTCCGAGAGGTCCCACTTCTCCCGGTGGTACTGGTAATACACCAGGTTCTGCCGCATGACCTTGTCGTTCTGGTCAAAGAGCAGGTAGCTGACGGCACAGGGGGCTGCGTTCTTCAGGTCATTCACTGGGGTCGGAGGGAAAGGGAGGGAATCAGCAAGCCCTGCCCTGCCCTTCTGCTCACCCGCCACCCTTCCTACAAGTGCAGCTTTCTAAAGAAAAGTTCATGACCACCTCTGATGGGCATCAGCCCCGGAAGGGCAGGTCATCCATGGGGCCTCCATGGCGGCCTGGAGCTGGATTTGGAATATAGGCATTCCTTGGTAGGCAGATGCTTTTGCGGAAATGCCCACATACGGCCTCTGGCTCCAGGGACCTGAGCTGGTCTCACGGCCCGGCAGCCCAAGAAAGGCTGGGTCCGAGGCCTGGACTGTCCTGGGGCTGACATTAGCTCCTGGAGCTGGGGAGGGTGTGCTCAGCAGAACATGCTCTCCACTCGGAGCCTACAGCTGGCCTGTGCACTGGTCCCGATCCAGGCAAGCCCCTCAGCTGAGCCAGGCCTGGAAAACCAAAGGATAGCGCACACTCTGAGCTGGAAGAGATCAGAAAAGCCACGTTGGTCTTGATACCTCCTGGGACCTGGTGCTCCCATCTCCAGCCTCCTGACCTAGTCCTGCCTCACTGGTGCCACAGCACCTTCAGCGTGGAGATTTTGCAGGGGTTGGATTTGCCTTGGGAGTAGGGGGCAAAAGGGAGCAGGTAATGAGACACAAAAGCCCCTGGCCATTTAATCTGGCGTCCATAACCCCTGCTGCCATAGAGTCGATTCCGACTCATGGCGACCCAACAGGGCAGAGCAGAACTGCCCCTTGGGTTTTCAAGGACTGGCTGGTGGATTCAAACTGCCAACCTTTTGGTTAACGGCCGGGCTCTTAACCACTGAACCATCACGGCTCCATTCCACTCCAGTTTACAGCCCAGGAATACTACCTTGGCTAAATGAAACTCAGCTTAGTAGGAGTAACCAAAGCTATAGAGTTGCTATGACTAGGAATGTACTAGAGGGCAACAGGTTTTTGTTTTTTGTGTGTGTATATAAATAAATCGTGCCACCCAGTGGCCATTTACTGTAACGACAACTTTAAAACCAGCGCCTGCCTGGGCTGGGAAAGATTCAAATGTAAATAAGAAACAACCCCTGCCCTCAAGAAATTTAGTGAGGGGGGTATTCTAGAAAGAGTTCAAAACAGGGCAGGCTTCCAGGAAGCGTGTCCCCCCAAAATACGTGTTGTAAATCCCCGTGGTGGGGCCCTGGTGGCAAAGTGGTTAAGTGTTCGTCTGCTAACCAAAAGGTGGGCAATTCAAATCCACCAGCTGCTCCTTGGAAACCCTCTGGGGCAGTTCTACTCTGTCCGATAATCGCTAAGAGTCAGGATGGACTTGATGGCAATGGGTTTTGATTAATCCCGGTTATAATCCCATTTGGGAATGGGTTTTCTTTGTTACGTTAATGAGGCAGGATTAGTATACGGTGTGTCGTAAATCAATCTCTTTTGAGAAAGAGCAGATTAAGCAAGCAGAGGTGGGGGGAGATAGATATCATGCCACATGAAGATCACCAAGGAACAAGGACTTCCCCCAGAGCTGACAGAGACAGAAAGCCTTCGTCTAAAGTTGGTGCCCTGAATTTGAACTTCTAGCCTCCTAAACTGTAAGAAAATAAGTTTCTGTGCGTTAAAGCCACCCACTTGTGGTATTTCTGTTATGGTAGCGCAAGGTAACTAAGATAACTTATAACCCCAGAAAGCAAAGGTTTCCTGGGGAGCAGCAAGCAAAGCCTGAGGTTTTGGTCTACCAGTGTTTGTAAGTCTTCGCCACAGCCTCTGATATGCAAAGATATTTTCAGAGCCCAGCCCAATGTGAGCCAGGGTGTGATCACCAGAGGCAGGGAGGGCAGGGCCAATGGGCTGCCAGAGCCGGGATGTGTCTAGAATACTTCTAAACTCCTTGTCTGCTAGCCTTGTGCACCCAAAACCAAGCCAGGCTAGACGGCCTCATGGATTCTTCCCCACGTTTCGAAGTCCACCACAGGGCTGGCGTGAAGCAGGGGCTCAGTGAAGGAGAAGTGTCAGCACAGATTTTCATGGAAATGAAATGAAAGACCAGCTTCTGGTTTCATCCAACAGAAAATGTTTAAACCTGGCTCCTAAGACTCGCAAAGTTTTGATAAAAGTTGAAGTTGGGTGACTGGTTCACTGGAATTCATTATCCCGCCCTCTACTTTCATGTACGTTTGAAAAGTTCCATCAGTTTAAAAACAAACAAAATAACAACCCATGTGTATAATTTTTCATAATTCTCATTAAAACAGGGCTCTTCCACAGACAGCAGTGTGGATGAATGCAAGCAAACCTCTAACACTTGGGGAAGGGGAGCGGGTGGGGAGGGAGATGGGGACGGGCTGTGCTGTGCACGTTTCTCTCTTCACCTCTGAGTTGTTTGTTTTTCAGCAACAAGCCTGTATTATTAGCTTTTGTGGAAGAAAGCAATAACTAGTCAATTATATTTTTTTAAAAAGGTGGCTTTTTATAGGCAAAACACACTGCCTCATAGAAAACTATCCTCTCAACACTAGAATACAGTCTGTAAGTATTAGCTGAGGACATACTATGTGCTGGGTGCTGCTCATAGATTATGTAGAACTAGCCTCTTGTCCCCTAGGCTTAACAATCGTTTAGCAGACAGCTGGTGCCAGGGTTACAATGATAGGGAAAATCTCATCCCCACCTTCGGTACAGGGGGGATTCTGGGAAAGACACTAAATTAAAATACACCTCACCCACCTGCTTGTCCCAAAAATCTCCCAACCAAGAAAACAAAGCTTTTCACTGCACCCTGAGATGACGTGCAGGCTGCTCAAGAGCAGGTTTACTGCTGAGAGAGCTAAGTCGCCTTACTCCGGAAGACTTGGTGTAAACGACTGTGTGTGTGTGTGTGTGTCCCCTTTGGCATGCCAGGCTTTCACTGTGTCCTGAAGATGAAGGGAGATGGGATAAAGGGGGGTGGCTGTTTCAAGAAGAGGGAATCCAACAAAGATCATAGCTATGGAACCTTACCTAGAGAACACAGCTGTGGAGCCTCGGCTATGGAAGCTAAGGTCACTTCTCATTCTCCCCAGGACAGCTCTGAGACCAGCTGCTCCTGAGTTTGAAGGGGTGTCCCAAGGGCAGAAGAAACCTGGTACAACTAGACTCTGGCATTTCTTCGTTCGGGCTGAGTAGTTTCTGCTGCAGCCATTCCCAGTAAAATGTCCAGCGCCTGTAACTGTACCGCCAGGTGATGCACAGAGCAAACGAGGCGTTCGGCAAAGTCAGTTACATGGACAGAAGGAAATGCCGAAACAGACAGACCCTCACGTCTCCACTTCGAACTACCTTCTCTCCCACCTTCATTTCATTTTGTCCACTTAGAATGTTCTGACTGAAGAACTCCGATCTCGGCTCAAGGGTGGACCAACTGGAATGAGCCCCTTACGGTGTGAAAAGCAAGGCTGATGCTGGGGAGACAGGAAATAACAGAGAAAAGGCAAACACTCCCGGGGAGTCTGGTAGGTGCCAACATGCGACCACCCGAAGCATCTCATTTAGTCCGCATGACAATCCCATGAGGTTAGCACGACTGTCTCACTTTACAGACGAGGAAACTGAGGCACAGAGAAGTTAGGGAGTGATAAAGCTGGAATTCAAGCCCACGCAGTCTGGCTGCAGGATCTGTGTCCTGAATCACCAGGCCAAGCTGCCTTTTCGTGCAAAACATGGCCCCAAGGCTGTCGATGTGACCTCGATGAACTCTCCCAAAAACCCCAGGAGGTAAGGGTTGTTACCCTATTTTAGAGATGGGGAAACGGCGTCTTCGAAGGAGCTGATTACTTACGTTTATAATAAGCAAACTGCAAATAATGATACATGGTGGCCACAAACTTCTCGACAGGATAGCCTCCTATAACCGGGGTGAGGTTTTCTTCACACTGTATTTTACATTCCAGGACTTCTATGTAGTGATCTGAAAGAACACACACAGATTTTCAGAGCGGTGCATCCATCGCCCTCTTGGTACGCTACCTCTGGTGCAAAAGAAAAAGATAAAGGTAAAAGAAAAATATTTGCAACACTTATGATAAAGGGCTAACTAACATCTTTAATATACAGAAACCAAAAAAAAACAAACCCATTGCCATCAAGTCAATTCCAACTCACAGCGACCCTATAGGACAGACTAGAACTGCCCCATAGGGTTTCCAAGCAGCTGCTCGGAGATTCGAACTGCCAACCTTTTAGTTAATAGTTCTTAGCTAGCTCTGAACCACTGCACCACCAGGGCTCCCTTAATATACACAAAGCTCCTTAAAATCAATCAGAAAAAGACAAATAGGAAGGAAAAAAAAAAGTCCCCAGTATAAAAATGGCCAAAGGGTATCAATACGAGAGAATTATAAAAAAGACTAACAAACATTGTGAAAAGATGCTAAACCTGTTTGTAATTAAAGAAATGCAATCTCCCCTGAAATAATTTAAACTGTTAAATTGGCAGAAACATTAGAATTTGATAACACCCAGTGTTAGGGAGAGAATAGTGAAATTTACACTCTCATTTTTTATTGGTGGAAGCAAAACAGGAACAAACTTTTCTGGAAGCAATTCGGCAAAATTTATTGGAGGTTAAAATACACATCTATCCTCTGATCCAGAGGTCCACTTCTGGGAAATTTCTTTAGACACAGGCACATCATGTATCGTACCGGGTACTAGTAGCCCCGGGGTACTGCCCTGCCCCTTGTGGTCCCCTACGCCCACACCTCTGTAAGTAATCCCTTTGTAAACAAATCCTTCTTGAATTTATCGTGATTTGTGTGTGCCAGTTAGGACCCTGCCTAACAGAAGGAGACTTATTTTTCACAGTACAGGTGTCCCTCAGTATCCACGGGGGATTGGTTCCAGGACCCCTACTCCCCGATAGCAAAATCTGAGGATGCTCAAGTCCCTTATATAAAAATGGCGTACTATTTGCATATAACCGACACACGTCCTCCGGTATACTTTAAATCATCTCTAGATTATTTATAATAATCTATAAGTGGATTATTACTGCGCCACCAGGGCTCAGAGAGAGGGGAGAAGTAGGTGGGAATTAGATGAAGCCCAAGTGGCCATGACTTGACAGTTGTGAAGCTGGGTCATGGGAACATGAGAATTCGTTATAATCTTCTTTCTATTTTTGTATATGTTCGACATTTCCCATAGTAAATTTTTTTTCAAAGAAGAAAAAATGGTACTTTGTGGAAAAAGAGATACATAAACAAAAAAAGGTGAAAAGCCCTGGATTCAGTAGTTTCAATGAACTTCCATACTGCAGGATTTCTAACAGCTAAAAGCACTGGGCTGCTAAACGAAAGGCTGGTCATTCACACCCACCAGCCACTCCACTGGAGAAGAATATGGCAGTCCGCCTCCGTAAAGAGTAGAGCCTTCAAAACCCTTGAGAGCAGGGGGTTGCAACCATGTAAGTGCACAGTGACTCTCTGAGACAGTACACAGCCCATTTCCAAACTCATTTGGCCAGGGTACCCTTTCTTGGAGGTGCAGTTCTAGGATTCCGGTTCCTCAAACCACTTTGGGAAATCTCCTCTCGGTGATTCCCCATTTTCTGCAGTGATCCTCTCCACTACGGAAAGCCCTCAGGGAAATCTAGGCTACGTGTGGGCAGTGTCGTAGGTTTTCCTTCTTTCTTCATTCTTCCTTCCTATGTTTTCTAAGCTTCCTATTATGAGCCTACACTGTTTTATAATCAGAAAAAAATGTTTTTCAGTTACCTTCACGCCGACTTACACAAGGTTTCTTCATTCTACCTGTGTGTATGTTGCAATATTCCGATAATCAAAGTTATCTCAGTAATGTGAGTCACTGAGTTGCTCTTCGGACCATTTTTATTTTTCCCAAACCTGTGAGGAATCTGTAATCAAGCAAGGCCGATACACTAGTCTATTTCTGGACTCCTCCCCCGGCCTGGGCGTGAAAGTTATACTCAGCTATTCTACCAGCAGTCTCTATGGCTCATCTATGAAGGTGTTGGCTGCCCCCGGTTACCCATTAATATTTAAGCTCAAAGCTTCCTCAGAGGCCACTCAAGTCATGTACAAGGCATGTCGAGAAATAGCAGACGTCCAAGGAAGACAGTTTCCAGCTATTCCATTTACCTGTAGGACACAACCCAGCACCAACCTGCTATGGAGAGATAGAAATCCTTGAAGTCCTTGATCTCCCTGGAGCCTTCACAGGCTGCAAGACACCCATAAAAGGCTTTGAAGAAGTCAGGAAGGGCCAGCTCCATGTCTGTGACAGACGTTCTCCAGTTCTCGCCATTGTATGCCCGCACTGCTCGGATGAACAGGCTCTGAAATGCAAGGAGAAGAAAGCAAAGCTTGCTCCCAGCCATGAAGGAAGACAGATATGTCCTCCCCAAAGGGATCTAGACCATCACCAAGCCTTCTAAGATACTCTACTGGTCTCACCCCTTTGGGAGCAAGGGAGAACGAAGAAAACAGGACACAAGGGAAAGATTAGTCCAAAGGACTAATGGACCACGAGTACCACGGCCTCCACCAGACCGAGTCCAGTACAACTAGATGGTGCCCGGCTACCACCACTGACTGCTCTGATAGGGATCACAACAGAGGGTCCCAGACAGAGCTGGAGAAAAATGTAGAACAAAATTCTAACTCACAGAAAAGACTAGACTTACTGGCCTGACAGAGACTGGAGAAACCCTGAGAGTATGGCCCCTGGACACCCTTTTAGCTCAGTAGTGAAGTCACTCCCGAGGTTCACCCTTCAGCCAAAGATTAGACAGGCCCATAAAACAAAATGAGACTAATGGGGTACAACATCCCAGGACAAGGACTAGAGGGCAGGAGGGGACAGAAAAGCTGGTCATAGGGAACCCAAGGTTGAGAAGGTAGAGTGCTGACATGTCACGGGGCTGTTAACCAATGTCATAAAACAATATGTGTACTAACTGTTTAATAAGAAACTATTAGTTCTGTAAACCTTTGTCTAAAGTACAATAAAAAAATTAAAAAACTAAAACAAAAAGCAAAATTTAAAAAAATTCCATTAATATTCAAAATTAAAAAAAAAAAAAAAAGACCATCGCCAAGCTCCACTCTCATTAGCTCTGAAGAAACCACACTGGCCCTTAATTAAATATGAAGCCAATAAGTGACTTACTTTATAACTAGATTTTTCTACCCTCGCAGTGGGTACACTTTTTATTTACTTAGTTTTAATTCAAAACATAAGTGGTGTTTGATAACAAAATCAAATTTGAATCGAGGAAAAGGCAAAACTATAGTGGCAGGAATCAGATGAGTAGTTGCTAGGGGCCAGTGGTTGGGGCAAGGGGGCATGAGAGAACTTTTTGGAGGTGATAAAATATTCTTTATCATGATTATGGTGGAAGTTACATGACTATATACTTTTTTTTGGGGGGTGGGGTTTGGGTGCATGTGATTTTTATTTTTTTATTGTTGTAGTTTAAGTGAAAGTTTACATTTCAAGTTAGTCTCTCATACAAAAATTTATACATATGTTGTTATGTGACCCTAATTGCTTTCCCTATACTGTGACAGCACACTCCTCCTTTCCACCCCGGATTTCCTGTTTCCATTCAACCAGCTCCTGACCCTCTCTGCCCTCTCATCTCACCTCTGGACAGGAGCTGCCCATTTAGTCTCATGTCTCTACTTGAGCTAAGAAGCACACTCTTCACGAGTATCATTTTATGTCCCACAGTCCAGTCCAATCTTTGTCTGAATAGTTGGCCTAGGGAATTGTTTTAGTTTTGGGTTGACAGAGAGTCCAGGAGCCATGCTTTCTGGGGTTCCTCCAGTCTCAGTCTGACCATTAAGTCTGGTCTTTTTACTAGAATTTGAGTTCTGCACCCCACCTTTCTCCTGCTCCATCAGGGACTCTGTTGTGTTCCCTGTCAGGGCGGTCATTGGTGGTATCCAGGCACCATCTAGTTCTTCTGGTCTCAGGCTGATAAGTCTCTGGTTTATGTGGCCCTTTCTGTCTCTCGGGCTAATACTTTCCTTGTGTCTTTTGTGTTCTTCATTCTCCTTTACTCCAGGTGGTTGGGACCAATTGATGCATCTTAGATGGTCGCTTGCTAGCTTTTAAGACCCCAGATGCCACTCACCAAAGTAGGATGCAGAACAGTTTCTTAATAAACTTTGTTATGCCAATTGACCTAGATGTCCCCTGAAAGCATGGTCCCCAGAGCCCAGCCCCTGCTACTCTGTCCCTCGAAGTGTTTGACTGTATTCAGGAAACTTCTTAGCTTTGGTTTAGTCCAGTTGTGCTGACTTCCCCTGTAGTGTCTGCTGTCCTTCCCTTCACCTAAGATAATTCTTGACATGACTATATACTTCTATAAAAACTCATTGAATTGCTAAATATAGTGCAAATAAACTGTAGCTCATTAAGGCTGATTTTAAAAGTGAATCAAGAAAAAGATAGACACTTGAGAGCAGGTGTCTGATACCCCTCCTCTCATAGAGACCCTGTAGTCACACCTTGGGATCTGAGAGCTCCTCACAGATATTTTCAGTACATCCCCGCCCTACCTCAGCCCCTCCCCTACCTCAGCCTTCCTTGGTACCTTCGGTCCCAGTGCCTAAACTCAACAGGACCTAAGAATAGTAAGTATTCATAAGGGTGAAAAACCCAAAACCAAACCCATTGCCTTGGAATCAATTCCAACTCATAATGACCCTATACAACAGAGTAGAGCTACCCCACAGGGTTTCCAAGGCTGTAAATCTTTACAGAAGCAGACTGCCACGTCCTTCTCCCACAGAGTGGTTGGTGGGTTTCAACCACAGACCTTTTGGTTAGCAGCCACCAAGCACTTTAACCATTGAGCCATCTTGGGGTCGATGTGAGTTGAAATCGACTCCATGGCAATGGGTGATCGTAAGGGTTAGGTCCTTATTATTGTTATTATTGCTGCTGTTGTTAATTCTCATCAGAACTCTCCCTTATAGACACACGGGTTTCGATATCCTCTGCTCTGTCAAGTGAGTCCCTCAGCTACTCTATGCCCTTTCCACCTTAATATATGTAATATATGTTATAATTTGAGGTTGGAATGTATCCTAGTTTCATGAAAGATGAATGTTTATGTTGCCGTTTCTTATGTTCCTGGTTATCGATTAAACTGTGCCCCCCATAAAATATGTACTGGAATTTTTAACTCCTACACCTGTGAAGCAGCCCTGGTGGCACAGTGGTTAAGAGCTACGGCTGCTAACCAAAAGGTCAGCAGTTTGAATCCACCAGCCGCTCCTTGGAAACCCTATGGGGCAGTTCTACTCTGTCCTGCAGGGTCGCTATGAGTCTGAACGGACTTGAGGGCAACTTTTTTTTTTTTTTTTGGTATACCTGTGAATGTAATCCTGTCTGGAAATAGAGTTTTTTTGGTTAGCTTTATTGTATCATACCTGAGTAGGGTGGGTTCTAAATCTAATCACTTCTGAGTTATAAATACAGCAGATTAGACTCAGAGACACGGACACATGGAGGGAAGACAGGCGCCACGTGAGGATCATCTACAAGCCAAGAAGCCAAGGAATGTCAGGGACGCCTTACAAGGAAGGAATCGACACGGCCGAGACCCTGATTTGGACTTTTAGCCTCCAGAACTGTGACAAAATAATTTTCTGTTCTTTAAAGCCACTCACTTGTAGTATTTTTGTTACAGCAGCACTAGGTAACTAAGACACTGGTCATCTTCAGATGATATCCAAGACACGTCTTTACTTCACCATCTTAAAAAGGAATGATCAAATGACCATATTTCTAAAATGTAGCATTTTAAGGAACGGTAGCCGTAAAATCGTCATGGAATGTAAAAAGTAATTCCTCAGCAGATAAACTTTGTGCTCAAAGTCAATCATTCCTATTGTCATAATATTCGTAACATGTCACAAAAGTCACTAGTGGTCCTTAGATGTCAACAGCTGTTAACCGAAATACGCTTCTTTAACGATTCACACGGCAACCAACCGCTGTGTAAAAATCTGAACATACCTCATATGACTTGGTCTCCAAGTCTTTGATGTAGTCCTCGGCATCAGGCAAGCTCTTGTAATACGCCATGTTTCTCTTCATCATCTCGTCATCTGGATGCTTCAGTAGGAAGGTGTGTGCAGCTGCAATGGCTTTTGGAAAATTATTTGCCTAAGTACAGAGAAGAAAGACAAAAGCTACTCAGTGGATGCTGAGCAGTGATTTTCACCAAACAAGAAATTTCTGTTCAGATCTTCAGAAATTTTGTGTTCATACACAGTGTTCCCAGCTAGGGGTTCAGTGACTTCCAGGGCCCCTCACGAATGGTCCAGCCACTGTTGTTGTTAGGTGCTGTCAAAGTCAGTTCCAACTCACAGCAGCCCTACGTACAACTGAACAAAACCCTGCCCAGTCCTGTGCCACCCTCACAATCATTATGCTTGAGCCCACTGTTGCAGCCACTGTGTTAATCCATCTTGTTGAGGATCTTCCTCTTTTTCACTGACCCTCCACCTTACCAACCATGATGTCCTTCTCCAAGGACCAGTCCCTCCTGATAACATGTGCAAAGTATGTGAGACAAAGTCTCACCATCCTTGCTTCTAAGGAGCATTCTGGCTGTATTTCTTCCAAGGCAGATTTGTTTGTTCTTCTGGCAGTCCATGGTATATTCAATATTCTTTGCCAATGCCATAATTTAAAGGTGTCAATCTTCCTTATTCTTTGTCTAGCCTTCGCACGCATATGAGGTAATTGAAAACACCATGGCTTAGATCACGAGCACCTTAGTCCTCAAAGTGACATCTTTGCTTCCAGCGACTCTGGATGAGTGCCTCCCCACCCCTACCGCCCCCACTACTCACCACTGTCTCCAGCCTGCTCTGTGCCCCAGGAGGCTGGTCTGCATAGACTACAACAATGGACTTCCTCGCTCTCTGGCTTCCAGTTGGGTTCGCCAGTGGGAAGAGTGAAGAGTCCCAACAGGAGACTGAAGGAAGGGAAGAGTCAGTGTGGGCTATTTAGTCTCCTGGCTTCCGCCCAGCACAGTGACCTCAGACTGTTGTGTCCCTTAACTAAAGGCCACAGCTCCTCAAGATGGCCCTCTCCATAGAGTCTCTGTCCTCCCAGGTTCCAGTAATTGCTCTCTTCCTTGCCCTTTTTGGCCTAGGGGGTGATCATACCCTACTGTTATCTGGGGGTACTGGTGGTTCAGTGGTAGAATTCTCACCTTCCATGAAGGAGACCCAGGTTTGATTTCCTGGCCAATGTACCTCAAGTGCGGCCGCCACCCAGGGGAGGCTTGTGTGTTGCTATGATGCTGAACATGTTTCAGTGGAGCTTCCAGACTAAGACAGACTAGGAAGATAGGACTGGTGATCTACTTCTGAAAAATCAGCCAGTGAAAACCCTATGGATCACAAAGGTTCAATCCCATTGTGCACGGTGTCGCCATGAGTCAGCGGCTGACTCAACAGCAACTAGCAACAACACACCCCACTGTTATTAGCCCTGGGGTACTGTACTATCTCTTACGGATTCCCAACGCCCTGCCAACACCTTTGTAAATAACCATCTTATTCAACTATCCTCAAATTACCCAATATGACCGCCCACTTCTTTTCTACTGGAACCTGGACCAATGCATTGATGTCCTCCTAAATCTCTCACAGAACCTTCCCCTGCACTGCTTCTTCTGCTTACATTCTCAGGGACCCTCACCATCTCCTCATTTACTCATTTATTCACTCAACAAACATTTGTTGAGAGCCTCCTATATTTAGGCACTGTTCTCGAAAGTGGGTCTGTAGCAATGAGCAAAACAGAAGGGAAAAAAAAAATCCCTGGCTTCGTGGACCAGACATTCCAGTAAGTTCTCCCTGTCTTCCTGCAACCTCAGTTAAGAGCCTTTTATGCTCCCCCCATGGCCCGTCTCCCCACTTTTCATACCACACTGTGTCTCAATTAGTGTGTCTATCTCCTTGAAGGACCCAGCTGTGTGTTATTCATGTCCACATTCCTGCTGTCTGGCACAGGACCTAGGACACAGCAGGACACCCTAGGTATTGGTGATCTGAACATAATAGCATTATGACTGCATAATATTTTGAGAAATTCATATTTTCCTCACCCTCTCTTTTCCCCATTTACGCAGTGACCAGCTGGTTCTGAGTATCACTGCCACAGGGAGGTAGGTGTCAGCACAGAATGCAGAAACTACTCATATGACAAAAGCCCTATGATCTGGAGGACACTTAGCAGGTTTGAAGACAGGGGGAAGCTGAGAGAGGGAGCTGCAGGAAGAAGCTGACTGGCCTGGAAGAAGAAGAGGGAGGAAAAGGAAGTCCCCCAGACTAGAAAAGTGTTTCCCCTGGGGTCTGGAGCAGTAGCAAGTCTGTGAGGCCTGGCGCTTCAGGGCTGGTACCTTGTTGGCAACGTCCAGGAGAGCAGAAGACTCAGGGAGGAATGGTGTGTTTCGTAGGGGCCCCTGGGGCTAGGGAGACAGGGACTTGGACACCTCCCTGTGCAGACACACAACCAACAACCAGAGGCCCCCACACTGATGCCTGGGCTCTGCCTCCCGGGCCCTGGACTCACGGCTCAGCTGCGGGGGGAAGAGCAGGTGCCTGCACGTGTGCACAGAGACTCCCCAGCCCTTCCAGAGGTGCACTCAGAGCAGGAATTAGGGAAATCGGTTTGGGGAGCGAAAATAAAGGGATATTTGGTACAATCTGGATTTCTGAGACTCATAGGATTACACACTAAGCCGAGGCATATTGGCGGAGGGGGGTGCCTCTGGGCACTTACTGGTGGAGCTAAAAGAGCTCTGTAAGACTAGCTGCAACAAGGCAGAGGCCGAGGGGCCAAGGGCCAGAGGCCTTACGGCCGAGAGGAGGCTGTCCTGATGGAAGAACCTGAGTGTTCCTGAACTGTAACCTGTTACTTTCCTAACAAACCCCACCATGGTGAGTATTGTCTGTGACTTCTGTGTGGCCATTGCAAGAACTATTGAACTCAGCAGAGAAGTAGGGAGTGCCGTGGGAGGGACGGCTGGTGTCAGAATTGGTAAATACAGTGGAGACAGGAAGCATGTCTGACCTCTGCCTCATAGGAATCAGCCTTGGGCTGTTGATCTTGATTCTCCTTCCTCCTTGTAAAGTTACGGGAGGTCAGATGTTGCCCCCACACCATTTTTTACAGTCAAGGTCCTATGGTGGGACTGTGTTTGAAAGAGTTCTACAGAGAGCTTATACCCCCTGGCTGGAAAAAGGTTGGTCTGGCAGCAAGAAGGAAGGGGGGTGTGAATGCAGCCTTTTAAAGCATTTGCCAATGAAATTAGATTCTCTGATTTCCAGAAGAGTGTCTACAAACAGAGGAGCACAGAGATGGATTTTTACAGCCCCTAACCAGAGCCCCTGGTGGTGCAGTGGTTAAGAGCTATGGCTGCTGGCCAAAAGGTTAGCAGTTCAAATCCACCAGCCGCTCCTTGGAAACCCTATGGGGCAGTTCTACTCTGTCCTATAGGATTGCTGTGAGTTGGAATCAACTCGACAGCAACAGGTTTGGTTTTGGTAACTGGAGTCCCTAGTGGCGTAGTGGTTAAGAGCTACAGCTGCTGGCCAAAAGGGTGGCAGTTCAAATCCACCAGCTGCTCTTTGGAAACCCTATGGGGCAGTTCTCTGTCCTATAGGGTCACTATGAGTTGGAATTGACTCAATGGGTTTTTTTTTTTGTTTTTTTTTTTTAACTCAGGATCTGAGCTTTAAAAAAATAGAACCTCTTCTGGAAAAAGTAATGTTGTTCACCTCAACTCAGGCTCTGCCACCCATAACACGGGGCCACATCTTGACAGCTAAACCTCTGGCAGGCCCCAGGCAGGCTTTGGGGATGGTGGGTGCCTGAGCGGCAGCCCCCCTGCATGAGAGGACCCTAGCTACCTGCCAAATGAGTAGCCTAAATCTGCCCCCTGCGGCTCAGGGAGATCAGAGTCCATGTCCAGGCAAGGAGTGGGGTAAGGGTGCATGGGAGCCAGCCGGCTCCGTCCAGCTCAGAGCAAATAGTCGTTAAGGATTTGATTAAGCGCTGGGGCCCACTTTTTGCTTGGCCTGTGGGGAAGATGAGTATTTCATGGAAGATGGAAGCTGGATAGAAAACCACAGCTTGGGATGTGGAACCTAAGATGCGCTGGTGACCTGGGACCTACGCTGGGCTTGGGGGCTACACACCAACAGCACTTTAATCCCTGGGTGGTGCAAAGAGTTAACACATTCAGCTGCTAACAGAAAGGACAGAAGTTCAAGACCACCCAGAGGCACCCGGAAAGAAAGATCTGGCGATCTACTTCCGAAAAATCAGTCATTAAAACCACTATGGAGTCGCCAAGAGTCCACATGGTTGCCAGGAGTCAGAGTTAACTCGATGGCAACTGGTTGGTTACTGTTCTTCTACAAGATCACACAGCTGAGTCTCCTTGCCTCACCGGGGCAGTCCGTACCCACTTTCTCTAGTCCCGTGTTCAACTCAGGCATTTCTCCTTAATCACTGAAATAAACGCCTACTTGACTCTGCGCGGGGTGGTTGAATCAGAATGGCACAGTAATATTTACCCACATAAACATCACTGAGGGAAGAAAATAAAATGAAATAAACCATACAATATCACCACCTAAAACCATTTTTTCAGTGATCTTTTCAGTTAAAGCAATTAAGTGAACATTCTGGTTTATTAATAAAATTCTTAATTGTGTCTTGTTTTTGTGGATTGGAAACACTGGTGGTGTAGTGGTGAAGTGCTACGGCTGCTTAACCATAAGGTTGGCAGTCTGAGTCCACCAGGCGCTCCTTGGAAACTCTATGGGGCAGTTCTACTCTGTCCTATAGGGTTGCTGTGAGTCGGAATCGACTCGACGGCAATGAGTTTTTTATGGATTAAGTTGTATCCTCCCGAAATATGTATTGAAGTCCTGGTCCCTGTACCTATGGATGTGATCCTGTTTGGAAATAAGTTTTCCTTCTGTTATATTAAGGAGGCCATATGAGTGTAGAGTGAATTCCTAAACCTAATCACTTCAGAGTTATAAAAAAGAGCAGAATAGACACAGACATACACACAAGGGGAAGACGGATGCTGTGGGAAGGCCCATCTACAAGCAAAGGAACGCCAAGGGTTGCCGGCAGACACCAGCAACTAGGAGAGAGGCCTAGGCCAAGACCCTAATTTGGACCACTAGCCTCTAGAACTGTGAGAAATAAATTCCTGTTCTTTAAAGTCACTCATTTTTGGTATTTCTGTTAGGGCAACACTAGGTAATTAAGACATCTGTCCTATAAGAGATCCAAAATACTAAGACAAGGTATTTCACTGACTTTCAAGTATGTGATTGTCAAAAGACCCATAAAGGGTTTTGAAGTGAAGCTATGAACATCCTAACCTTTTGAGGCTGGCATGTTAAAGAAGGAAACCTGTGCCTTCTGGTCATATTGAGTAAAATGCCCTTCTTCTCCCTGTGGAAACCCTGGTGGCGCAGTGGTTAAGAGCCACGGCTGCTAACCAAAAGGTTGGCAGTTTGAATCCACCAGGCACTCCTTGGAAACTCTACGGGGCAGTTCTACTCTGTCCTATAGGGTCGCTATGAGTCGGAATCGACTCAACAGCAATGGGTTTGTTCTTTTTCTTCTTCTCCCTGTAGCACTAGTTTCTAATTCACATGTATACTAAACAAATTAGACCTCCTAGTATCATCAGGTTTAAAAATAAAACGTTCCCCCTCCTTAAGTATGTGATTCAAATTTGGTTCAGACTGTATTTGTCTAAAGCAACGCAAAAAAGAGAGAATTAAACGGGACATTTTTAGCTTAAAAAAACAGCACTGGTATGAGCCAGCCATCAGTTTTCATTGTCCTGGAATTTTATTAATCTTATCCCCTAGTTCTATTTTAAATCTGCTGTTTATTGCCAGGTTATTCACAAAACTGATGCTTTATATAAAATTAACTAAGCATAGAAATAACCCCGTGTTTCTCCTACGGGGAGTTAGGTGTTATTTCATGTCTCATACGAATGCCACAGATACGTGGCTCAGTCTTAGCAGAAATATGAAAAACAGATCTTGCAGTCCAATGACTCAAAGCAAAGGTTTAGAAAAAATGTCTACCCTCAGAGTCTGGCATGTGCCACGGATCTGTTTTAGTAGCCATTAAAATCTATGCAATGTATTCCTTTCAATTTTTTTTTCAACAAGAGAAAGTACAAACTGGGTTTCGAGAGGGCTTTCTTGGCAAAACCGTGAAGACCCGCCAAGAGAAAGCCTTTTTATCCTGTAAAATAGGGAATTCAGCCCATTCTTAAAACTTGTGGGTCCCCACAGTGAAGACCAGAAGGATAGAGAACCGAAGTTCAAGGCTATTTTTAGCCAGCAATCAGAGACAATTTAAGCAGAAGGAAGGCATAAAAAGAAGGAAGACAACTGTATTCAATTCTAGATAACAGAAGACAGCAGTGATCGCTAACCCTGACAAATCACAGTCCACAAGTTCTGCTCCCCTAAACCAGAATGTTCCTTAGAAGCTACGATGGCAAGACTTCATCTCACGTACTTTGGACACGTTATCAGGAGGGACCAGTCCCTGGATAAGGACATCATGCTTGGTAAAGTAAAGGGCCAGGGAAAACCAGGAAGACCCTCAACAAGATGGATCGACACAGTGGCTGCAGCAACGGGCTCAAGCATAATCCTGAGGGTGGCGCAGGACCGGACAGTGTTTCCTTCTGTTGTACGTAGGGTTGCTATGACTTGGAACCAACTCGATAGCACCTAACAACAAGCCGGGATGTGTGCCCCCAACTTGTCCCGGCCCTTCCCTGACCTCAATTTCCTCCTCGATAAAAGGGACCTGGAGCCTCGGTGGCGCAGAGGTTAAGAGCTCGGCTGCTAACTCGAAGGTCGGCAGTTGGAAGCCACCAGCCCCTCCTTGGAAACTATGGGGCAGTTCTACTCTGTCCTACAGGGTCGCTATGAGTCAGAGTCGACTCCACGGGAGTAGGTTTGGGTTTTGTTTTGTTTTTTTAATAAAAGTGACTAGCCAGCTTCTCAGGCCCCTTCGCGCTCTAGTATCTCAGGTCACCACTCACTTGAGCAAAGGGGTGTACACGGAAGAGCCTGCTCTTCCACAACAGGTCACATTCATCCAGCGCTTGTTGAGAGGTAGACACTGTGCCAAGTGTTCTGTGGCCGTGTTCTCTGCCTTAGAACAACCCTTCAACAACGTCATTTTCATCTCGAAGATGAAGAACCAAACCAAACCCACTGCCAACCTGTTGACTGGAACTCACAGCAACCCTACAGGACAGAGAACTGCCCCACAGGGTTTCCAAGGAGCGGCTGGTGGATTCAAACTGCTGATCTTTTGGTGAGCAGCCAAATCTTAACCACTGCGCCACCAGGGCCCCAAGATGAAGAAGGGGGGCAGGATCTGGAGGCAGGATTCGGTGGGAAAGAACCTGGTCAAGCCAGGGTGGTGGGGCGCTGCCCGGGGCGGGGCGTGACCTGGGACGAGGAAGTGGGCGGGGCTTGGGAAGTGGGCGGGGCTTGGGGAAGTGGTCGGGGGCCGGGGCCTGGGACAGGACGGGGACAGGGCGGGGCCTGGGACAGGTGAAGAAGTCTAAAGTCAGGGCCCGGGAGGGGAGTGGGCGGGGCATGAGGGAGCTGCCTGGGGCGGGGCTTGAGGCGTGGTGGGGGGGGAAGTGGGTGGGGCCTGGGGCAGGATCTGGGCAGGGCCGGGCCTGGCTAAGTGGTGTGACGTTGGGGCCCCGGAAGCGGGGGTGCCTGGGACAGGGTGGGGCTGAGCTTGGGGAAGCAGTCTGGGGGTGGGGCCGACTTGCCTTGAAGTAGGCAAACTGCAGGAACTTGTAGGGCTCGCGGCGCTGGAAGTCAGCCAGCACCTCGCGGCTGGGCTGCGACTGGCGAAAAGCTGGCAGCCCCTGCTTGCAGCGCTTGAGGCAGTGCGCGCGGCGGAGCAGGCCCCCGAAGAGGCGCAGCTCCGCGTAGCGGGCGAGGCCGGCGGCGGGCGCGGGCTCGGGCACGGCGCTGCAGTTGAGGTGGCAGAAGGCCTCGCTGTCGAGCAGGAGGCGGTGCAGCCGCAGGCTGATCTCCAGGTAGCCCACGCTCTCGGCCCAGTGCTCGCTGCTGTATTGGTCCAGCGCGTGCCGGTAGGCCGACTCAAGCGGCATCAGCTCGTCCCGCGGGAAGCTGCGGAAGCTGTAGCGCTCGTACTGGGCGCGCCCGGCGCGGAGCGCACAGCCCGCGCACAGCAGCGCCAGCAGCGCTGCGGCCGCCCCGCGCCTCGGCCCCATCGCGCCTGGCGGCAGGAAGGACGGAAGGGAGCGGGAAGGAAAAGGAGGAGGAGGAGGAGGACGGCGCGACGCGGCGGGCCAGCTCCGGGAGGCGGGACGCTGCCTGTGGCCCGCCCCGTCCGGCCGCCGCTCCCCGCTGGGGGTCCGGGCACTGCTGCCCGCGTGGGAGGACGCGTGGCCGGCTCGCCTTCTCCCGGGCCGGGCGCGCTGTTCTGCACCGCCAAACGCGCGTTTAGGGATTCCCCTGTTCTTTCGCTCGGAGACGGCAGTCTGCAAGCCACACGCGGCCCTGATGGGGCAGATTAGTGCCCCTTCAGTTTTAGAATCCATTGGAGGACTGGGGCAAACGCAGATTCCTGGACCCCCCCCCCCACCGAGTTTCTGATTCAGTAAGTTTTGGGTCGGAGCCTTAGAATTTGCATTTCTAACCAGCTGACGCTGACTGTCCACGGCCTACACTTTGAATAGCAGTGCCCTCGACCTTACATCATAGTGAGAAAGACAATGCATGAACATAATAAAGACGTCGGTGGCACTTTATAAACAATTTGGGCAAGTTGAAGATACCTATGACTCCGTGATTCCACTCTTCAAAATATACTTGAGAAACTCGCGCCTGTGCGTCAAAAGATACGTATGGAATGCTTTTTTTTTTTTTTTTAATTCATTAAACTTTTTCTTTTGAAATAATTTACAGAAAAGCTGCAAGGATTGTACAAAGAACTCACATATATTCTTTATCTTGATTCACAAGTTGCTAACGTTACGCCACATCTCGTTTCTCTGTATCTATCTACATGCATTTTCTAAGACCTTTGAGAGTAGGTTGCAAACCTCAGCCCCCTTAATCCTCTTTAGCGTGTAGGTCCTGTGACTGTAACCACAGAACAGTTAACAAATTCAGGAAATTTAACATTGATAGAAGTTTTTAATCTACGTTCTCTATTGCAATTTTGTCAGCTGTCCGGATGCCTTTTAGAGCACTTCTTTACCTGGACAGGACTTACTACAGGATCCCATACAGTATTTAGCTGTGCCGTCTGCTTGTTCGTGTTGTTAGTTACCCTGGAGTTGGCTCTCCCTCACCGCCACCTTATGTACAGTAGAACCAAACGTTGCCTGCCCCTGCGCCGTCTTCATGATCATTGGTATGTTTGAGTCCATTGTTGTGGTATTTGGACTTTAAGCCCCCAGAACTTTAAGTGTCCTCTCATCTGCACTGGTCCCTCAGCTTTTCTTGCCTTTCATGCCTTTGACATTTTTGAAGAATACACGCCAGTTATTTTATGAACTGTTCCTCAGTTTGGGCTTCTCTGGTGCTTCGTCATGATTAGATTGAGATTCAACTGTTTGGCTGGAGAACCAAGGGAGTAACCTTGCAGCCTTCTCTGGTGTCACATCCGGAGGCACACAGTGCCCGCCCCTGAGCAGTGGTGGTGACTTCAATCACATTGTTCAGATGGTGTCCATTTTCTCCACTTCGTTCTTTTCTTTTGTAGTTGATGAGTGTTTATGGTGAGATACAGCAGCGCTGTTTGTTGCTTTTTTTGTTTTCATTTTAAAAATATTTATTGAACACTTATGGATTGAATACTAAAACCAAACCTGTTGCCGTTGAGTTTCCAACTCATAGCGACCCTGTAGACAGAGCAGAACTGCCCCATAGGGTTTCCAAGGAGTGGCTGGTGGATTCGAACTGCCAGTCTTTTGGTGAGCAGCCAAATGCTTAACCACTGCGCCACCAGGGCTCCATGGATTGAATGACTTCCTGCCAAAACATGTTAAAATCCTGTGACTGTGACCCTATTTGGAAATAAAAGAGATTTTCTTTATGGCAGTAGGGTGGTTCCTGAACCTAATTCCTTCTGAGAGCAGTAGTTTTCTTAATGGCAGAAAGCAGAAATCACCTGCCTGTCTATAAAAAAGGAATAGATTTTTTTAAATGAGTATATGTATACAGAGGAATATTTTACAGCAGAGAAAAATGAAAGAATTACAACTGCACGTAACAACACAGTTCAAGCTCAGGAATAAAATGGCAAAAATAAATACATCGAGAATGATTCCACTTGTCTAAAGTTTTAAAATATGCAAAAGTACACAATATATTCTCTAAGAATGCAAACAATAGTCTTGTCTCATACAATCACATGGGATAAAGCTATAAAGAAAAGAGAATGATGAAGAGAAACTTTCAATAGTGGTTTCCTGTGAGGTGGAAGGAAGAGTGTGGACTTGGTAGAGAGTCACACCAGGGAGAAGGAGGGTTGAGGAGGTGGAGAGTGGATATGAGAATGTTCATTGTATCATTTTTTACGCCATACATATCTTTAAAATATCATTTTGTATTTACTGGTTATTTTTTAAACAATTTTAAGAAAAATAAGTTGCAACGGTTATAATGAAGAAAATAAAGCAAGTGGATGGGATAGGGTGGGGGAAGGGTGCATGAGAAGATGACACCTGAGCAGTGACCTGAATGTGGAGAGAGCAGAGCTGGGAGGTGGTAGGGAGAGTTTACCTGGTTCCGTGGAGCCTCTGCCTTGGAAATGCACAGTGACTATTTGGCTTGCAGCTTGTTATCCTTAAGGTTTGTTATTGTTAGCTGTAGTCAAGTTGATCCCTTACTCAGACCAGAGATCCACAGAGTTTCCACTGACCGATTGTCGGAAGTATGTTGAAACCTGTTTAGCGTCATAGCAACATACAAACCACCACTGACGGACAGGAGGTGGCTGTGCATGAGGTACTCCGGCCAGAAGTGGAACTCAGGTCTCCCACAGGGAAGGCAAGAACTCAGCCAGCGAGCCACCAGCGCCCCCCTACCACGTACAAAGCATTATTCTCAGTCCGCTGTGATTAACAAAGTTGAATGAATGAAGCAGCATAAACCTAGAAAGGGAGATTAGGCATCTATTTAAATAACTCAGAATTTTTAACTGTCTTCTGGAGTGCCAAAATGAAGCAGAAGGCCACTTTAAGACACATGCAAAGAACTGTTGCTTTTCTACAAAAAGCAAACCCATCTAAGAGGTAGAATGAGCCGACAATTTGATTGTGGTTGTGTAATATGGCGTAATAAATTGTCTAAATTTGTGAGGGATGAGAATCAAGATCAGCACAAAGCTGGTTCCTTTGTGGCATCTGGCCTCTGCTGTCAGGGGCTCTACCATTAGGCTATCTGCCACCAGCTCTCTGCTGTGAAGCCATTCTATCACCAACTGGCTCAGCTCACAGCCAGTGGAGCAGCTTGCTCAGCTCTCAGTTGCTGTCTGCTGTCAGACCTCTCTGCCATCAGCTCTCTTTTGTCGGCCTCTCCACGGTTAACAGGCCCAGCTCATAGCTATTGTAGCTCATTTGGGACCACTCATCTCCCACGTGGCTCGGCTTCTCTGCCAGCCCAGCTCTTCGCCAGCATCTCTCTCAACCAAGAGGCCTTTAAAGCGTCTGTGTTTCAGCCGTTTATATAAGGCAACCCTCGCGACCAGAGTTCAACCAATCCTCACTTACTGAAGTCTTGTTAATTACCAGAACAAAATATCAAACCATCAAGTTGTTTATAGTTTACCCAGGAAATGCCAGTCAACCCTGAGAATCCCCTGGGCAAAAGTAACAAACCCTCTGGAGGAGAAAACAACCAGAGAGCCTCTCCTTCCTCCAAATTTCTTCTCCAAAGAACTAGGGCAAAGGTAACAACTCCTCAGGTATTAAAAACCAAAACCCCAATGCCGTCGGGTCAACTCTGACTATGGCAACCCTACAGGACAGAGTAGAACTGCCGCCTAAGGTTGCCAAGGAGTGGACTGTTGGGTTAGCAGCCATAGCTCTTAACCACTATGCCACCAGGGTTTTCCTCTCAGAGCTTAGGGGGTAAAAAAAAATCTCCCAAGCTGTTTTTCCAAAGAACTAAGGCAAAAGACCACATAAAGGAATGTATTGCACCACAGGTTGATTGCAAGAATGCTTCGAATTCCTCCCGTCTTCATAGCCATGCCGCTTTGCAATGTGACTTTGCAGCTTCACTATCAAGAGGTGGAGTCAATTTCTCTGGATCTGGGTTTGGCTACGTGACTTGCTCTCTTAGTTATCTGGTGTGGCTCTAACAGAAATACCACAAGTGGATGGCTTTAACAAACAGCAGTTTATTCTCTCGCAGGCTAGAAGTCCAAATTTAGGATGCCACATCCAGGGGAAGGCTTGCTGCTGTCTCTGTCGGCTCTGGGGGAAGGTCCTTGTTATGAGTCTTCCCTCGGTTTAGGAGCTTCTCAGCATGGGAACCCTGAGTCCAAAGGACATGCTCTGCTACTGGTTCTTCTTTCTTGGTGGTATGATGTCCCTCTCTCTCTCTCTCTGCTCACATCTCAAAAGAGATTGACTCAAGACACAACCTAATCATGTAAATTGAGTCCTGCTTCATTAACATAACTGCCTCTAATCCTGCCTCACTAACATCATTAAAAAAACCAAACCAAATCTGTTGCTGTCAAGTCAATTCCTACTCATAGCAACCTTCTGGACAGAGTAGAACTGCCCCATAGGGTTTCCAAGGAGTGGCTGGTGGATTAAAACTGCTGACATTTTGGTTTCTAGCTGGAGTTCTTAACCACTGCGCCAGCAGGGTTCCCATTAACATCATAGAGGTTAGGATTTACAACACATATGATAATCACATCAGATCACAAAATGCAGGACAGCCACAATACTGGGAATCATGGCCTAGCCACGTTGACACACATTTTGGGAGGACATAGTTCAATCTATAATATTTGCTTTGGCCAATGAGACAGTAGCAAATGCCCCATTGTACACTGGGGCTTGCCCTCTGGTGGCACTTGGAACCCTGTCTCCACATGACTGAGCCTAGGCTAGCCTGCTGAAGGATGAGAGATACATGGTCTAATTGACTCTGCATCACTCTTACCAACTGCCAGTTGTGTGAGTGAGATCATCTAGCTGCGAAACAACTCACAAGCTGTCTGCGGGTGCATGGGAGGTCCAGTAGAGCCCAAACCAGAAGAACCACCTAGCTGACCTACAGAATCCTGAGCTCAATAAATAAGTGTTGTTGATCTCTAAGTTTTGGGGTTGTTTGTTACATAGCAGTAGCTAACTGATAGGTTGACCAACAGCTGGAGATGGACAACTCCTTTTTTTCTTACAATCTGGCCCCTTCTCTTGCCCTTGAAGTCAATTTGAATCAACATGATGGGGTTGATGGGAAGAGACTATCATCTCTGGCCTCTGCTGAAATGTCATCCTGTCCTGGTTGGTCACATCTGAGGAGTCATCCCTCATTACCTGTGGTGAAGCCCCTGCAGGTCCATCAGCTCTATATGGCACTTCAGGCAACTCTACTTTGA